GTTAATAAAGCACTATTTTAGTTTTTGTTCAGTATCAGTTTTAAAATAATCGGTTAATTAATCGGTATCGGCCAGTGTGGTCCAACCTACACTCTTAAAAATAAAGGCGCTTCACGATGCCATAGAAGAACCTTTTTGTCTAAATGGTTCCATAAAGAACCTTTAACATCTGAAGAACCTTTCTGTTTCACAAAAGCTTCTTTGTGGCGAAAGAAGGTTCTTCAGATTATAAAAAGGTAAGAAAGAGATGGTTCTTTAAAGAACCTTTGACTGAAGATTCCCCCCCCCCCCTAAAATTCACTGTTTTAATTTTTCTAGATTCCATTTTTAATGGTTTAATTAAGTTTTAAAACAAAAAGGAATGATTAATCAATTGAATTCATAAATTTTTTACAATTAATTAAACAATAATTTTACAATAATAGGGCCCTACAAAATGTGTTTTATTTTTATCTTTTAATATTCCTGGATTAAAATTAAAATTAAAATTAAATTGTAATAATCAAAAAAGAATGTCTAATCAATTGAATTCATACGATTTTAACAGTTTAAAAATGTATTAAAAAATGTACAATAATACGGCCCCTATAAAATTCTTTGTTGTCTGTTTTAATTTCTGTATTTTGCGTTTTTTGATTTAATACAAATTTATTATCAAGTACAGTGGCAATCAAATGAGTGAATAAAACTTCAACAATTTATTTGATCTTTCAAAATGTAATTAAAATTAGAATTTTTTTTTGGTGCTGCACAATATAGAGGTTTACTGTTAAATTAAAGCATTGGCAAAAGTGTGTGATATTCCTTAAAAGATAATGTTTTAATTAACACTGTTATTATTGTTGTTGTTATGAGATCATGAAAAGAGCCCTACTTTTGATTTATTCTTCCAAACTAAATTATAAATTAAACTTAACTTTTATTTTGCAGACTTAATGTTTAAATCGCAGTCTTTTGCAACTTTATATTCACAGACACAAGTCCATAACGCAATTTAATTAATTGCACAGCCCTACTTTTACTCCAAATTTTACCAAATTCTGTGACCTTCTGCATTATACAGTAAATTCCATTGTCATGACTGGATTCCGCGATTCTGTTGGCGTTTTCTGCATTGCATAAATCATAAGGCCATGCTGCAGTAAACCAGCCCAAATGAAGAATACTGTTCTAAATCTCCTGCTGATTTCTAGTAGTTTAGATGGAGGTTCAGTGCTCGTGTTCTGACTCACTCAGTCCTTCCATGACGCATCTATAAATATGCTCCATCAGCGTGGCGTGGGTCGTTGACTTCTGGGCTCTTCTTCTGTACTTTAAGCTCTTGGCAGAGACTATTTTTGCTCAGGCTTTTGTGATGTGGAAGTGTTCGGGGATATTATGCGCTTGCTTCTCAACCCTCAAGTTTAGTTTGGTGCGATGCAGGCAATCCAGTCGATTAGGCTGTTTTAGCTCGAGAAATAGACGAATGCACCTTTGTAGTGTTGATATTCTAGGTTTATTTTTTTTATTACAAGTCATTAACGCCATAAAGTCATTTCCTGCCTGTTTTTTTTCCTCCAAAGAAGCTTCAAAATAACATGAAGCAGCTTAGTCCATAGCACTTGTGCACTATACTTTAACTAGGGCTGAACAATTAGCCTAATCAAAATAAAATCTGAATCTGGTTTTAAATGAAATGTTCTGCTGCAGTTTAATTAATTAAATAG